TTCAGAAATAAAATTATGTAAAAGTCCTATAATTTGATTCTTTAGAGAACAAATTATTATAATTTTTGTATATACAATGTATACATTTATACACTTAAATTATATCTTTATTTTAAATTAAATGGAAATAATAATTATTTTTAAATTAAATCTATTTAAGGTCTTATTCTGCTTAAAGGGCTGTCGTAACTTAATAAATGTGAGTACTAGAACGCACTTTAACTTTTCATCTTTCACATATATGTATGTATACATTCTTGTTAAGTGATTCCCAACATTTTCAATCTTATTATCACTTTTGGTCTCTTTGAAATATTTAAATCCCTTTGAGTCCCCTGCCTGCCAGCACCTACTTAACTACTTAACAGAGGCCTTTGAAAGAGCCACTCTCTTACCCCACAAGCCACCAAAATATACATACATGCTACAAAAAAAATTGTGTCCAGGTGTTGCAATAATTTTTATTTTTTGTCGAAACCTCCTCTATGGCTGGCATTCGCCAATAATTCACGACCCTGAAGGGGCCGATGGGCTGATGGTCTTCTGCTGCTCTCTGAGCCCTGCCTATGGGACGTGTCACAGTGCCGCAGAGATAAATTAGTTAATAAATAAAAAATAAAAAAGGGGGAAAAAAATGCCAACTAATTTGCATATTTGCCCTTTGCACACGCGGGGTCTCATTGACAGCACGAAAGCCGAAAGCCGAACGCCGAAAGCCAATGAGGCGCACCAGAAAATGCATTTAAACCGAAAAGCGGGACACCCGTTAACGGTTAACCCCCCCCCCTGTCCTTCGATACCGACAACAATTGCCATTTTGTGCACCGCTCTTCGTGTTTTAATTTTTTTTTTGGCGGGACACAGAATTCTATTTCTATTTTTAGGGCTTCAAACTAATTTGCATATGACAGAAAGGCAAAGGCTGTGGCAGGATGTGTGCTGGAATTTGGCAAAACTCAATGATGGGTTCCGCCGTGGGTTTCTCTTCCTGTAGGTAGCGAAAGTGAAAGGACTCAAAGGATAAGAGAGAGAGAGAGAGAGAGGGCGAGCGACTCCTTTTTTTAACGGCCGTTGCATGCAAAATTGCAAAAATTGAAATTGCAAAAATGATAAATGGGTTGCATGCATCTCCCCGTGAGATTCGAGGGATACCCCATTTGCCTATGCAATTTGCCTACGTGAGTATCTAGATATTTTGATGATAGTTGACCTTGCCGCAAAAGAAAAAGAAACACACAGAAGAAAGAATCAAAGGATAAAGGGTTGCGCCTCAAGGGGTTGTCTTCTTCGGGACTTCTTCCTTTTTTTTTTGGCGCGCAAAAAACTGATTTGGGATTTGGTTTTTGGGCATATGGTAAAAAGAGTTGACCGACGCGACGAAGGACGAAGAGTTTCTGTAGGCAAATGGATAGAAGCTGAGAGAATGAGGACGAGGATGATGTTCAGAAAAATGTGTGTGTGTCTCTTTAATGAAACGTTTGTTTGCAAATGAGCCAGAGATACGAGTAGGGGTAGGGTGGTGGCAGAGGTGCAGCGCAGATGGGTCTGTTGGGAAGGGGCAGCAGATAGGACTTCGGGGAAGGGGTAAGAATGAAGATGATGCAAGGATTATTTGCATGAACTTTTGCCAGGAGGATGATGTAGGTAAGACACACAGAAGACACCGAAGAAGGGATTAATTGCATGTGAAATGCTAAATCGATTTTGTTTGGGTTACTTATTTGAGCATAACCTTTTGGATAATGGATATTTCGTATCACATTTTAGACGTTACTTTTTCTGTTATGTCAGCAACATTAAAAGAAATTTACGCTACACAAAATATCACTCAACGAGCAACATATAGAGAACTATGTATATACATATATGCGATATTGATGAACCAAACTTGAATAATTCCCTTTATCCCATACAGATCTCCACAAACACCCAGTTTAAATCTTAAAAGTCAAAATCAAGTAACGATAGGTTGTCAATGCATATAAGGCTTCACTTGCTTCCAATTGATGAAAATATTAAACCTTTCAGTAATTTAAATAAAATAAAGCGTTTCTTCAATAAAATTTGTGTTGAAATGCATTAAAATTCACTTAAACAAATGAAATTGCTTTGCATTTGCCACAAATTAGTCGTTCGAACACCCTCATTCCAGCCCAGACAGCTACATATATAGAGATACAAATATATGTATATATAGTATTTGTGCATTAATTGTGTTGCGCGATAAACAAAGTGATCAAAACCAGACCCCGTTTATATGTCTTTTTTTTCTGGCAAATTATGGCACTTTAATTACCGAACACAGACGCCCAAAAAAGTTTCCTCGTCGCTCTGGCCAGACAACAAATTAATGCGCAAATAAGAAGAAAATTATGCTAATAATTATAAACAAGTGCGGGGCATTGAATGAAATGTGAGAGCAAAAGAGAGGAGGACAGTGGAGTGTGTGAATGAAAGAGAAGACTGTATAAAAATGCAGGCAAAATGCTAATCGGAGTGCCTCATTATCATCCAAAAATCAACAGCGGCGTTGCCGTTGCCCGTGGCCCGTGGCCGTGGCCGCAAGAGATCTCTTCTTCCATTCCATTCATAAACGCAGCGCTTAGGTTTTTTATCCATTTTTTTTTACTCGCATGCGGCGCATAATTATGCAACAAGTCCTTTCCTGTGAGAAACAAAAAAAAAAACCAAAAAAAAAAACGCGGCGCGTGCGCATTTAGCATATGCCACACCACACCGCCGCACTCTACTCTTCATCGGAGTGGGGAAAAACAGGATTTTTTCTCCTTCGACATTTGAAATTTAAATGCGTTTTTTTTCTGTGTTGGTTAGCGCCGCCGCGCCACCTAATTATCATGTAAATTTTTAGTGTCTAAGGACAACAAACTGATGAACGAACAATGATGTGATGCCCAGTGACTCTTTGGCTGTCTGTGACTTAGGAGAGGGAACGAGGCTCAAAATATATGCGGTGTGTTGTGTTGGCTTATTAATTATGCCCAAGTGTTGTGTGTGGCCGCAAGGATATGGAGATGTGGAAAAATGGCTGAACAAATTTCATGCAAATATAAGGTTAAACTTGTGTCTGTACGTCTCTCTCCCTCTCTCTATCTCACTTGCGTTCTGTCTGTCTCGTTTGGAATGACCTTAGTTTGCATAATTATTTTTGATTGAGCTGTTGACCTGCCCCAAAAATGAGTGTTCTCTATGAGTGTGGCATATAAATGTGGCAGGAATTGAGAGAGAGGGTGTATATTTAGAGAAGGGCTGTGAAAGGTGTGATAAAGGCAATAGTTTTTAAAGGGAAATTTAAAGGGAAATGATAGGGTTAAAAGAAAGTGTTTGTGGCAGAAGCTTAGATGAGATATTTGTGTGGGCTTGAAGGATTAAAATGCCCTTAATTAAGTGAATGCAGTTCCCGAAAAATTATCCTATTGGATATATAATTATCCTTTTATTTATACCTCAATATATCAATATATATCAATATATTTATCTATGTATCTATTTATCTTTACACCAATCTAGCCATTCTTGCTGTAGTTTAATTTATGCAATTTAATTCTTATCATTTTTGAGACAGTTTTCGTATTGTTCTCCTGCATTCAATCATTGTTCCGTTTTGGAACCAATAAACTTTTTGCTATGTTTTCCGTTTGATTCTTCTTCGCCTTTGTTCGCGGAACGCTCCACTAAATCAACAACAAAAACTGCACTCTGAAGACTGGAGACAATGGGGCGGGAACTTGTATTTGTATCTACATACAGCTAGGAGAGTATTCGATATACCCTTTTGCTATGTTAATTTCTGTGTCAATTTGGCAGAAATGTGCCCCATGGAATCAATGAAGACTGCGTCAGATAAAGCAAATCAATAACTATGGGTTATAATTTAACTGTAAACTAAGGCAACAATCAAAACACTCGACACACACACACACAAAAGGAACCAGAGAAAGATACAGATACTATTTGTATGTTGTTTAACAGACAATGTGTGGGCTTTC